CTCTAAAAGTAAGGTTAGAAATAGAGTACGTCATGGAAGACTTCAGATGGAGAGAGAGTGAATGAATGTAGCTGCTTCGTATAACTTGGCTCAAATAGAGACTGTAGTTTTTCTCCTGTCTATCGTATGAAAAGCAGCTAAGCTAAATTTTCCTTGTTATGTTTTTATAGAGTTGAAAGTTTTGAATCAAATTTTAAATCTTTACAATTATCCTTTTAAATTTTTAACTGCTTGGTCTTAGTTACTTCTTTCTAACTGTCAAGGTATATTTATTTGCCCTTAATAATATAATATGTAGTATTTCACAAACCTTGTCAGTGACAAATTCTTTGAACTAAAGAATAGATTGTTTGACCATTCCAGTAATTAAGGAAATTAGATTAAATATGTAATGGTTGCACTGATTTTTCAAACATTGATGAAGGAAGCATTATTCTCAGTTGACTTAGTATCAAGACATTCTTCTTCCAGATCTTGAAAAATAAAATATTCAACTTTCCAGTTCAAGTTAGTGGGAAGAGCTGTAAATTTGTTTCATAGCTTTCTTGATATTGTATACATTTCTCTAGATTGTATAGTTTTAGAAGATTATAAGTATTAGGAATTCAAATGCAATTTTGTATTTAACTTAGAAAAAATAATTTAGGTCCACACTGAAGATCTGTGAATGCTTTTCTTTCAAAGAGGGGCTCTATTATTCAAGTTTGAAAAATACTACAAGGCTAGTAGCTTAAAATATCCCTTTTCTAAATGTTAAGATGGTTCCTAAGGTACAAGGGCAGGTTTCTGAACATATAATTATAAAATCCTATTGATGTATTGCGTAGTGTTTTCTGAGAGCATCTAACCCAATGTCCACATTGTATAGAGTGCCAAAGAGGTTGAATGAATTACCAAGTACAGGGAGCTAGTCAGTGACTCACAGGACATAAATCTAGTGATAAGTATATGCAAATAAACATGACAAAGTCATTCACAATAACTTAAAACAAGAGAGTTGAGTCAAATCAAATCAGAAATATTAGCGCCCCTGTAACTCCACACACACTTTAGAAAGATAACAGCCATGATTTTTGATATGTGAAGTCCCAGCCATTTTGTGTTCACAAATCTAACTGCACCATGACACAGTCGTGGAACTAAGCCACAATGAATGATTTAGCTCTGTTTCCTCTTTCTTCTCAATGTGGCCATGATTCTCATATCAATATGCCTTTCCTGGACTTATCTCTGAAGTCTGTAGGAGATAACTTCCTCTACATTGCTAGCCAGTGCGGGGGACTTGGGTTTCCTTGCGGAGCTGCAGGATATTTGTTCTATCCTGTTTACAGCCAATGGGGGGCCCTTTGTCTTCCCTACAGTGAGCCTTTTCATCTGCACAGAGGGAGATACAAAATCGGAAATTATCTTAATTAAATGTTTTCCGTCCAGAAACAACTAATTCCCTAACTTGCTCTATTGGATCTTCTTGGAGGTGCCCCTTCCCACCTCCCTCTGTGGTGAGATTGCAGGTAATAGACCTTATCACAAAAGACAAGGATAAATATTTTTCAGGACACAGAAGAATCTTTGAGTATCTACATTTATTTACATTCATTCCTGTGAACATATTTAACCATGCGACATATTAGTACACCTAGATGAAATATTTTCCTTTATAATATTTTCAAGAAAAATTGTATCCCCTGAACAAATTATAAAAGTGCTTTTAAATATCCAAAATAAATATTTTGAGAATATTCATTTTAGGGTTCAAGTTTCTAAAGTATCCTATTCTATACTAAGTTATTGTAATATCTGTCATCTAGAGGAACTTGTAGGTTTATTAGCTCTATAATGTCAACATTTGCAGATATAAAACATTTTATATTTCTTAGCGCTGTAAAAATACATGAGGAATAAATGAAAATGCAATAAGATTTTGGTCGAGTTAACTAATAATGAATTTCTTTCTTAAAGATCAAGATAAAAATTCTGAATTTCTACTGTTCTGTTTTTAAAATTATAAAGTTAAATGTATCCAGTTCCAGTGTAAACTCTACATTGCTAATTTTTTGGAATATGAATATAATGAAAGTTTATATGTGGTTAGTTGTGAAAAAATTATTATTCTGTTATTTAAAGAATATAGAATGTATTAAGGAAACATTACCTAATTGTCAGATTATTCACAAGTTTTAGCTGAATTGATTTTTTTTTAGAAAAAATTATGTGAGGCATTTAACATATTTGTTTTGTCAGAAGCATGTTTTGATAGAGGAATGTTAGATAAAATATCAGTTTCATTTAAACCAATTATAACTTTTAAATTATAAGTACATCTTATAATTTTTATATTTTCACTTCCATATATTATTTATTGATAAATATATGGATAGAAAAATTTGCAAAATTCAGAATTTTTTAGTGATAATCTAATTTTTGAAATAAAATGATTTAATATGTGCACAGTAAATGTAATGAAAACTGTGTCTACAAATGTAAGGTCCTGTGGTTTGGGGTTTGCTTTTTGTTCAAAAGGCATTGTTCTATGTGAAGTAGATATACTGATTTAATATTCTAATTCAGTGCCTATAAAACCCACCTTTACTTAATTCTCTGCTTTCTGCAATTCCTCAAGGGTAAAAAAATAGAATGTCACTTCTTTAAGAGAGGCATTTTCTTAAATGAAAAAAAAAAAGTCTTTTGAAATATTAGTGAGGTACTGGTAATTTAATACCCTTTAAAAAAATTAAAGAAATTTAAATTAAAGAATCTTATGATTAGTTTCTTTTCTCTATCTCAAGACCAAGCATATTTTTAATTAAAATTAAATATATTTCAATCTACACTCTATTACAATAAAGGAAAGAAATAGTTATTATTACAACTTTTGGAGAGTTTTTAAATGTAGTTCCTCATTGAAGAGAATTTACTTTCAATCACAAGAAGTTGGTTATTCAGTGTATTTTTATCGGATAGGCATTATATAATTTCCTGCATCTCATAAGGAAGAGCATATATAATAAAGCATCCAAGAACACAAACTTAATTTTAAAAAGATAGCTTTTGTTGAGTTGGTTTCACTCTATTAACCTTGAAATGTTGGCAGGTAGTTTGAGTTTTAGTGACAAGATTCTGTTGCTGCTAGGGATGGCTCTGGACATTTGATAGGCTGAATTTCACAAGAACAATTTACTGTGTTTATGGAGAGCTTAGGTCTTATTAAGGAATAGTATCCCTTCCCCAAGTTTAGGTTCTATGTGAGCATGAATTAAGAAATCTATTTCTGTTTTGGGAAATACACATATATTTTTAATATAATTTTCAAATGTATTTTTTAAAATAACAGCTCTATTTTAACCTTCTAAATTATATCTTCTTTACCCATTTGGTGTTGCTGAATAACCAAAATTAGCTTTTGCTTTCCCTGCTAGAAATTTATAATTTTCTTAACACATCCTTTCTGTTCTGAGTAAAAGTAAATAAAGGTCATTTAAAATACAGTATTAAATTTTTTTTTTTTGAAAAGATTCAGCTTTTAAATTCTTCAGTTATTTATAAAAGTTTCTACCTAGGAACTTATTTTTTGCTACTGATAACTTTGTATTAAATAATTGATGCCTAAAATATATATTTAGTAGAATAAATAAATTAGCTATAAAACAAAATTAGAAGAGCCACAAACCAGGTCACAGTAGCTCACGCCTGCGATCCCAGCACTTTGGGAAAGCTGAGGTGGGTGGATCATTGAGGTCAGGAGTTTGAGGCCAGCCTGATCAACATGGCAAAACCCTGTCCATACTGAAAATACAAAAATTAGTCAGGCATAGTGGCAGGCATCTGTCATTCAGCTACTCAGGAGGCTGAGGCAGGAGAATAGCTAGAACCGGAGAGGCAGACGTTGCAGTGAGCTGAGATCACGCCACTGCACTCCAACCTCGGGACAGAGCAAGACTCTGTCTAAAAAAAAATAAAAATTAAAAAAAATACATTAAAAAAAAAGAGAGAGAGAGAGCCACTAACTGAAGACTGGTTTGGCTGGGTTCCATTGCCTTGCTAAGAATGTGAGCTGCCACTATCTAGGTACATCAACTGTGCATATGTCATTTAGCCCTTTAGGGTCTCAGATTTTGTCTCTGAAAATAAGATAAAAACTCAGCACTATTTTATAATTCCAGATGACAAGCTGCAGGATCAGGTCTTTAGCTTCTTCATATTATTAGAGAGGATGTTGAAAATGTTATTACTAATATTGCTATTTTCAAAGATAAAATAATTTTACTATCAAATTAAAATCAGTTCATTGTTTTATCCAGAAAGATAGACATTAATTTGAATTAATAACATTTTCTTTTTTTTTTCTTTTTTCTTTTTTTTTTTTTTTTTTGGCTTGAACAACAGTAGTTTATTTTTCACAGTTCTGGATCTGGGGGTTTAAGATTAAGGCCTGGCTGCCTGCTTGCTGTGTCTTACGTGGTACTTTCCCTGTGTGTCCAAATGTCCTCCTACAAGGACACCAGGCATGGAACTAGGGCTTCTGTTGTCCTCTTTTTCTTTTTCTCTTTCTTTTCTTTTTTTTTTTTCTTCCTTTTTTAATGTATTTTGGGCTCTTGTGGACATGTGCACATCCTGCATCCTGCAGGATTGTGACATAGGTACACACATGCCATGGTGTTTTGCTGTTTCCATTCCTTCCCCCATCCCTACCGCCATCACCGACATCAGGCATTTCTCTTGGTGTTATCCCTCCCCAACCTCCCGCCCCGCTGCTGTCCCTCCACTTCCCTCCCCTCCACCCTCCCCCACCCAGCCCATTGAGTGTTGTTCTCTTCCCTGTGCCCGAGTGTTCTCATTGTTCATCACCTGCCTCTGAGTGAAAACATGCGGTGTTTGGTTTTCTGTTCTTGTGTAAGTTTGCTGAGAATTATGCCGTATAGATTTATCTATATCTCTGCAAAGGACACAAACACGTGGTTTTTTTATGGCTGCATAGTATTCCATGGTGTATGTGCCGTGTTAAAGATATATAATGCTTCACGAACTTGCATGCCATCCTTGCGCAGGGGCTATGCTAATCTTCTCTGTATTGTTCCAGTTTTACCATATGTGCTCCCGAAGCCAGCACATATTTCTATTTTTTTTCATACTGCCATTTCTTTTCTAAAGATATGCAATCTTATGCCAACTGTTAGAGAAAGGAAGGACAAGGTTATGAATATGTGCAATGTGAATCAAAAATGATTCAAGAGAAATTATACGTATATCAGGAAACTTCTTGCTCTTATTGATGCTCAAGCATGGTGGAGGTGACTTGAGGTATAATTTAGTTAACTCTATTAGCTATTTAGACATATATTGTCAAATTCAGAAACACATTTGTGGTAATATAATATATAATCAAAAAATATATCATGATTTTCTGATGGATTTGTGATAATAGTAGGTTCCATGAATATCTCTCAGGAAGATATTGTTTTTTTTTTTACCAAAAGGTAACATATCTATATTATGGGGATATAAACATGACTATAAAATTTGATTCAAATGATTTATTTGATATTCACATAAATCAAATGATTTTTTTGATATTTTGAATATTAACATATTCATCAAATAAATTTGATATTGATGAATATCAAATAAATGAGAAAGAAAACATTTATGATGAGATGGAAATGTTTCCATTCACACCAGACATTCTATACCTAATTATTACCTTTTGTCACTCATCAACAAAGATAATATTAAGTTGCTTTCTTATTGGCATTTTAAAATATGTACTACTAATTTTGTTCAGTAAAATATAATTTACTTAATCTGCTCTTACAATTCTATTCTGTGATGTTTTCCAATATGAATAGTTATTCCAACCACTTTTAGAATTTGTATCTTTCCAATGTCCTTTCATAGTATCTTTTAGTATTAACCTTTGGGATAAATATTAATAACATCAAGTCAACACACAAAGTGCCTATTCATCTTTGTTCATTCTATCACTGGCTCTATTTAGATGAAAATCATATAATCAAAAATGTCAATATATTATCTGTGTAACAAAGTGTCTCCAATGACACATTTAGTATAAAAGTCATGTTGTACTAATTTGAGAATAGAATAGATCTATATCTCATTCTAATAATAATTCTCAATGAATAATGCGTGGCTATTTCAACTAATGCATTAAATAGATAAAGATATTTCTTGAAGAGTTCAGTCAGTTGGCTATGCCGCCAGTTATAATTGAAACCAATTTTCAAGCCATGAGTTATTTTTTGTTTGTTTGTTTGTTTGTTTTGTTGTTTTTTATAAAAGGCACTGTTTCTGTATACTGGTACTAAAAAAAATGGATCATCCTTTTTGATACAACTAAGGTGAAACATTTTTTCATTGTTTCCTGTAATTTTAAATTTGTCATTTATTATTATATTTATGGTATTTATTTCTATGTGCCTTACACACAACTCTCACAAACTTTGTTTCTCTGTTTGCTTTACTCTCTTTTAAAACAATTATTCTAGCTTGTCCTGATGAAACAAAATACCATAGACAGGGCGACTTATAAACAACAGAAATTTATTTCTCACAGCTCTGGAGTCAGGAAAGTGCAAGATCAGGGTACCAGCATGGTTGGGTTCTGGTGAGGGTCCTCTTCTAGGTTGCAGACTGCCATCTGCTCATTGTATTCTCACATGGCCAAAAGAGGACTGGAGGGCTCTCAGGGGTATCCTTTATAACAGCCTGATCCCATTGATGAGAGCTCCACTTTCATGACCTAATTTCCCCCAAAGGCCCCACCCCCTAATATCACATTGGAGGTTAGGATTTCAACATATACATTTCCAGCCAACATGTACATTTCCATTGGACAGTCTTACAGTCTTTTCAGTGTTTACATGCATAATTTACTGCAAGACTTGAAATGAAACTTCTTAGCTTTGCTTTGTCTATATTATATATTTTATCTCAAGCTAGCTCTACATTACTAGTGATGTTAAATTTCAGTAAATGGAAAAATTCTTTGAGACTACTATATTCTCTTTCATTATCCAAACACCTCTATTTTTACAATTTGATTAGTGTTCTTGGCAGTGTACAACACAATTGAATTACACTGGATGTAATTGCCTGTTTTTAAAATATATCTTTGGATGAAAAGAGAAATATTATGAAGGACCTTGTCTCATTGTGCCATCAGTATATCATGGCTGAGAATATTTCAGGTAAGATAATGTATTACACCTCTGCTTTCTCAGAAAATGAATGCTAAAATATGGAAGTAATTGATTCTGATTGTTTAATGTGAGAAACAAAGTTTATACTGAACATTCTAAGCCATTACCAAAAGTCAACTTTAAACTTTAATCAAGACATTTAGAATTCTACAGTGTCAACTATGATAGATACTCTCACACCAAGGTCAACACAAGAGTCACCAGAGTGATTTATTTAAAAGAGAGTCCTGAGTACCACTCCCAGAAATTCAGATTTTTTACTTTTTTTCTTGTATGAAAATAGGTAATCTTTTTTTTTTTTTTATTGTACTTTAAGCTCTGGGTTACATGTGCAAATCTTGCAGAATTGTTTCATATAGGTACATGCATGCCATGGTGGTTTGCTTTCTCCATCCCCTTGTCACCTATATCTGGCATTTCTCCCAGTGTTATCCCTCCCCAACCTCCTCGCCCCCTGCTGTCCCTCTCCTAGCCCCCTGCCCCCCAACAACCCAGTAGGTGATGTTCCCCTCCCTGAGCCTGTGTTCTCATTGTTCAACACCAGCCTATGAGTGAGAACATGTGGTGTTTGGTTTTCTGTTCTTGTGTCAGTTTGCTGAGAATGATAGTTTCCAGATTCATCCATGTCCCTACACAGGACAGGAACTCATAGTTTTTTTATGGCTGCATAGTATTTAATGGTGTATATGTGCCACATTTTCTTTGTCCAGTCTATCATCAATGGACATTTAGGTAGGTTCCAGATCTTTGCTATTGTAAACAGTGCCACAATAAACATATGTGTGCATGTGTCTTTATAATAGAATGATTTATAATCTTTTGTGTATATACCCAGTAATGGGATTGCTGGGTCAAATGGAATTTCTGTTTCTATTTTGTCAAAGATCAGGTGACTGTAGATGTGTGGCATGGCTTCCAAGGCCTCTGTTCTGTTCCACTGGTCTATATCTCTGTTTTGGTCCTTGAGGAATCGCCACACTGTCTTCCACAATGGCGGAACTAATTTACATTCCCACCAACAGTGTAAAGTGTTCCTATTTCTCCACATCCTCTCCAGCATCTGTTGTCTCCAGATTTTTTTAATGATCATTATTCTAACTGTCAGGAGATGGTATCTCAATGTGGTTTTGATTTGCATTTCTCTAATGACCAGTGCTGATGGGCATTTTTTCATATATTTGTTGACCTCAAAATGTCTTCTTTTGACAAGTGTCTATTCATATCCTTCACCCACTTTTGAATGGGTTTCTTTGTTTTTTTCTTGTAAATCTGTTTTAGTTGTTTGTAGATTCTGGATATTAGCCCTTGTCAGATGGGTAGATTGCAAACATATTTTCCCATTCTGTTGGTTGCTGCTTCACTCTAATGATTGCTTCTTTTGCTGTGCAGAAACTCTTAAGTTTAATTAGATCCCATTTGTCTGTTTTGGCTTTCATTGACAATGCTTTTGGTGTTTTAGTCATGAAGTCCTTGCCTACACCTGTGCCCTGAATGGTTTTGCCTAGGTTTTCTTCTAGGATTTTTATGGTATTAGGTCTTCTGTTTAAATCTTTAATCCATCCGGAGTTAATTTTAGTGTAAGTTGTCAGGAAGGGGTTGTCCAGTTTCAGCTTCTATCACATGGCTAGTCAGTTTTCCCAGCACCATTTATTAAACAGAGAATCCTTTCCCCATTGCTTGCTTTTGTCAAGTTTGTCAAAGATCAGATGGCTATAGATGTGTGGCATTGCTTCCAAGGCCTCTGTTCTGTTCCACTGGTCTATATCTCTGTTTTGGTACCAGTACCATGCTGTTTTGATTACTGTAACCTTGTAGTATAGTTTGAAGTCAGGTTGTGTGATGCCTTCAGCTTTGTTCTTTTTGCTTAGGATTGTCTTGGCTATGCAAGCTCTCATTTGGTTCCATATTAAATTTAAGGTGTTTTTTTCCAGTTCTGTGAAGAAGATCAATGATAGCTTGATGGGTATAGCATTGAATTTATAAATTACTTTGGGCAAATGGCCATTTTCATGATATTGATTCTTCCTAACCAGGAGCATGGAATGTTTTTCCATCTTTTTGGGCCTCCTGATACCAAAACCTGGCAGAGACACAACTAAAAAAGAAAACTTCAGGCCAATATGCACGATGAACATTGATGCAAAAATCTTCAATAAAGTACTGGCAAACTGAATGTAGCAGCACATGAAAAAGCTTATCCATCACGATCATATAGGCTTCATCCCGGAGATGCAAGCCTGGTTCAACATATGCAAATCTATAAATGTAATTCATCACATAAGCCAAACCAAAGACAAAAACCACATGATTATCACAATAGATCCAGGGAAGGCCTTTGACAAAATTCAGCAGCTCTTTATGCTAAAAAATCTCAATAAACTAGGTATCGATGGGACCTATCTCAAAATAATAAAAGCTATTTACAACAAACCCACAGCCAATATCATTCGGAACGGGCACAAACTGGAAGCATTCCATTTGCAATCTGGCACTAGACCAGGATACCCTCTTTCACTGCTCCTATTCAATATAGTATTGGAAGTTCTAGCCAGAGCAGTCAGGTAAGAAAAAGAAATAAAAGCTATTCAATTATTCAATTAGGAAAAGAGGAAGTCAAATTGTCTCTATTTGCAAACAATATGATTCAATATTTAGAAGACCCCAAATCATCTCAGCCCAAAATCTCCTTAAGCTAATAAACAACTTCAGCAGTCTCAAGATACAAAATCAATGTGCAGAAATCAAAAGCATTCCCATACACCAATAACAGACACACAGGGAGTCGAATCATGAGCGAACTCCCATTCATAATTGCTACGAAGAGAATAAAATACCTAGGAATACAACTAACAAAGGATGTAAAGGACCTCTTCAAGGAGAACTACAAACTACT